ACTACAATCATATTCATGCCGTCTCTTGATAGAACAAATGATAATTGTTTCTGAAAAACTGCAGTTTATGACTATTAATGAAACAGTGATTAGTTTGACAACTACTGTCATGGGTTTCCAAAAATTAAATAATTAAATGTGTATTTTTTGTATCCACTGTTCTGTGACTTTTGTATATTTGGGTGCGTACATTAGGCGCAAGTCTCGTAAAGTTATGTGAAACACCCTGTATTTGAAACGCAGTAGGATGTATTTGACGCAATTTATGTTCACGGATTAAAAAAAATTCGATTATATGAACTTGAGGATGTTTAAGTTGACTAAGAAAAATGAAGCATCACGGTGTCATTAATTAAGTTAAAGTAATTATTTCATGGAAATGTTTTGCTTTTGCAAGTTTTGTCAGTTTACATTTGTAGTGCTATAGTTGTTCACTTATAATTTTTTTTTATACTTACATAACTTCTTTGCACTTTTGTTTGCAAGTTTGTTTATACCTACCACATTACTGTAGAATTTGCTTTTACCATGTTTTGTATTAAATAGGTGAATTTTAAAATACAGGTGGGATTGTGGTTTATTAATGTTAGGTAGTTGGTTGTGCAGTTGTAGGTCTGTGTTTTATTGTTGCGCCTAATCAAGGCACTCGTGCCTCCTGTTCTCGAGTTCCTGCATAACTACTTCCTAATTTTATTTGCATTTCCGACATTATCAAGCGCGTAATCTGTTTTTTTCCTGTTTTTAATGAATGCTTCTGAACTCCACTGATTCACTGGTTGAAAATTGATGGGGCGTGGAGTTTGGAGCTGCACCAAAATGATAAAGTCAGACGAAACCGAGAAGTTTGTAAGCTCTTTTGCGATGTAAGGGCGGACCGTGCATGTGTAATGTCCACAGACTGATGTGCTTATCCGTTTACTTATTATTGCTAATCCATTTTGATTCAGTTTCTACAAAATGAGTTATAAACGTTAGGGTCTTAAATTCAGCAAAAGTTATTTTGTAATTAGCCGTCTCACGATCAAACGTCCTTCCCGGCGAGATTAGAACGTAAAAATTATCTCTGAAAAGCAGAAGCATTACGCTTAACAGTTTAATGCCGCGATTAAAACGGTAAGGTTATTCCAGTGAGGTCGCAAAATATGTTGTAAAATTTTAATGAGCACTAAAGTTTAAGTTTAAACTTAGTTTAAGTCTTGTTTGTATGTATTTGTGCTCGTGTTGTCTTAGACACACCGCGTGGTATTAGGTTTTTCATTGCTTTTACCATCTTAAAAGGGAAGGTCAAACATACAGATTTAATATTAACTTTCCACTTTTTCGTGAGAACTCTCAGTACGTTTGTGCGGTTTATTTCTTCTCAATTAGCAATATAGTAGATCTAGAAATAGAAATAGATGGAAACATAGTCAAGTACTTTTTTGCTCTCAGAATGGGACGTAAATAATACCTTTACGATAAATATGTCGAAATCCAACACCGCAGGTCAAAATTTTGCATTTCATTGTATTGAGAAGAGAATTGTTCAGGATACTTTTATAAGGATTAAGCTCGGTAGCAGATTATTTGTAGTTTACCGGAAGGTGATGACACTCATAAAGTAATTAACCTGTTTTCAAATATTTCTATATCTACTTATAACAATGGATAAAGGGTATCTTATGTTTTCAATTTTTGTGTTCTAAACTATCAAACTTTCGACTATAAGTGTAATTAATCTTTGTTAGTGTTGGCGGGTGATGGTCGTCAAACAATAACCAAGTCTAAACCTAAAGGATCTTCTTTATATGAATTTATATAACCTACTCTCGACAGGAATTTAATCGCTTGCCTCAAATTAAACGCATCGTGAAGTCCGGAGTCCATTTTAACTAAAACCTAATCAGATGTTGAAGTTAAGAGCAAGTTTTAAACGTTTGCGATTAATATGTAATGAATAAACTTTTAACAAGCATTTTAAAAGAATATTTTGTTTTTTTCAGCGAGTGCAGTTTATGGTCGAATTGTATTTATTTTGAAAGCGAGCTTACGTTTAACAAATAGTTGGTTCTTAATTCACAAAAAAATAGCTTAAATTTAAAAATATTGTGGAAATAAATCAAGGACCAGTTTTGCTTTAGCATTGTAATACATAAACCAGTCGTCTTGTAAAGATATGAGTATTATGTTTTTTCAACGGCAGAATTTACTGGAAATTGATAAATTGCTGTAAGCTTTTCAAACTGTAATATTTTCATGTTTCACCTACTTAACGCCGTCGCTTCTTATGAAAGTTATGGTAGTTATATACACTTACTTCATCACACACTTTATTAGCGCCGAGCGTCGACGAGTATAAATTTTATAGGAAGCTCCGAATAAATCACAGAGCTCTTGATCTAAAGCTGTTTTACTTATAGACAAAAATTTGTCTTGTGTACTTTTTTGAAAACTAGAATCCAACAAATACCGGCTTCAGGCACCCACATCTTAGTAAATCTTCACTCCCGGAACAGAAACTCGTAATTATAGGCCATAGATCAAAACTGTAGACCTAAGGGCTGTTATTAGTTCTCTACAATTTTCGTCACCGTTAAAACGGCTCTATTTGCTACTCTTGGGGGTTTGTCGTTATGGCCACAATTTACATACATTCAGCTTTAAGTACCAAAAAATACAGTGTCGTTAGCAATAAAACATTTAATTGGTTCTTGTCAAAGACAGACTTCCGTTAGTTTTGTCTAGTCGATTTAAATGCGTGCTGAATTATCGAATAAAGTATCCACATTGAGGCGAGGGTGTAACATTTTATAATCTCATTAACAGTAAAGGTTGTGATATGACTAATGCGCCAAACGTGGTAATTAGGTAGTAATGTTGATATTTTGTGATGAAAACGGGTTTAATAGGCAAGTACTTAATGAACGTCATTAAATTGGGCTATTAATTACCTTGTCAACTTTAACCGATGATATTTACATCAATTATACAAAATTGTGATAGTTGATACCAATATAGCACTCAGGTTTAGTCATCTAATGCGAATTTCTTTCCAACTCGATACATCAAGTACCTAAGTTTTTATATTTTATATAAAATACCATTCTGCTTCATTATTGCAAGCATTATGGTATGATATTAAGGGCCTTTTCCAACTATAATTAACTTTAGTATCAGTTTTAATCATCCTCTATTGTTCTCTTGTATTCAATATAGCACACCACAATAGCATATCTCTCTTGTGGCATACCAAAATAATTATAACGTTCGATTTTGTATGAATTTCACAAATTGTTCATATGAAGATTAATTACTCTTCGGAGTAAATTGTGTCTCTATTCGACAACGCAACTTTGCGGCTCTTCTATAGGAAGTTTCGCACGTGTTTTGTTCGACGGGAGCGTCAACAATAACGCGAGGTTAAAATTGGAATTATGTTTGGCTCGATATGTGGCCTTTTCAGTCTTCAATTTCGATTGTTGCATCAAGTCATAAACTTGATTGATGGATGGGTCTTGCCAGTTTCCTATTAAAACACTGTTGATCTATTTAACTTTCGACGGTGACAAGTACTCCATTTTTCGGGGTCAAGAGACAAACCATACTTCAAAGTATCAAATACCAAATTTAAAAATGTTTTCTTAGTTTTTCTTACAACTTTTCAAATAACAATTTTGGTTTCTTGAATGTAACGTTGCTTAGGTTTTACCACGGTTTCACTGTTAATTTTCCGTCATTTTTCAGTTAAACGTCAAGTTTTTTTTTTGAAGTGTAACCTAATAGTGATTTTAGGTGTTTTTTTTACTTTTTTTAAGATTTAAAATTTGAATCTGTGAATTAAGTGAACTATCAAATGTTGAGGAGTAAGGGCAATCCAGATTTAAGAAGGAATAAGCTGTAAGTCTTTAGTGTAAGATTTGTTAAATGCCACAAGTAGTAACAATTTTTTATGATGTAAAATCGTACAAATTAAGTAAAAAAATTGTTTAAAAAAGTATGATAAAAATGGTAATCTACCTCCTTACTCCGGTAAGGGTGTGTAATATATTATGGGGATTTGGCTGTAGGTTTAGGACAGAAGAGTGCAGATATCAGCAATGTAACAGGACACTTGCAGGACAATGTACAAGTTTAAGGATCAGCGTCAACAGCAGGGATGTTAAATGTGTTTGCTTTCCACACCAGATGTCATAAATACGAATGTCGAGTTCGGCTCAGTGAAGCAAAAATGACTATTTGTCTCTGAATTTGACCATTGTGGGAGATTAGAGTGCCTCTATCTCCTAATCCGGATTTATAACACTGTCAAATGATACTGAATTTTATCTTTATATGAGTTTTGCAGTCTAAACATTACATTTGGCTGAAATAAAAGTTGATTGTGTTACTCCAACGCAAACAGTTGGCACTATCGGGGTAGAATGAAATTTTTAAATTCTACCTATTGGATTCTAAAATTATCTAGGTATTGAGTTTTTGTAGCTGTATAGAAAATCTAAAAAGTCAAATAGTTGTGGTGTGATAACGATTTGATTGGGGAAACTTGATCATAAACACTATTATTAAAGGGAAAACAGCAACTAGGAATTGAGTTATCTTAATAATTGTGGTGTCTTGACTGCAACTTATATTAATTTGAATATTAATTACTAATATCGATTGGGTCGTGAAGTTTCGAGATGTTTTGCGAGTGTTATTAGAAGGGCTGAAATCCGCCAAAGTTCTCCAATAATTAATTGTAAACCGAACTGGTTGCACATACCGGCAAATTGAAACGCCATAAATTAACATTAGTTTTCGGGTTGGTCGTCTGTGTGAAATCATTGCAGATGTTTATTTGTATAGTTGAAAAGTATATAAGCAAATAAAAATTGTATCCGTTTCGTCCAGACCTTTCATCCATTGAGCATATCCCATCCGCTTAGTTCCGCAACGCCGCGATCTTAGACTAGTGGCTTCTATAGAGGTAGAACTGCACGATACTGATAAGAGGGGGTTTGAAGTGAGTGATTCTCTTTCAGCACAAATTGCGACGGGTCTGCCGTCTTCGGCGTCGACAGCGTCACCAGATTGTTCACCCCCAGGTACGTTTCTGGCTTGGTGTCGTGCTGTAATTACCAAAAAATCTGAAAACTCAATGAACACACAACGACAGAGTCTGTAGTTGATCTCTTTGACGCGTAGTGCCCCACGTAGCTATCTCTTATCTCTCTTTCTATGTTACTCTACTACTCTAGTAATGTTATCTTATGTTGTCTTATAGGGGCTTTGGATTTATCACCTTCACCGACCCGGCTAGCGTAGATAAGGTTTTAGCCCAAGGCACTCACGAACTAGATGGCAAAAAGGTAGGGTAGCTTTTATTTACCTAATTTATCTGTAGTGTCTATTTAAGTGTCCCTAGAGGACGTCATCCATCCAGCATTCAATTCTTACATCCATCGCCTTGGCATAAACTAATTAAAATTTTTTAAACATTGTATTTTTGAGAAAGAGATAGATGTGTGGGCAAAAGTACTTCTATAAACCTTCAGGTGCATGTACTTGTGGTTTATGCCATTATTCATCTCCGTAACACTAACAGTTTTTCTTTGTTCTACTCTCTTACTATTTTTCATTCTAAACATCATTGCATGGAATTGTATGAATACACTATCTTCATATAGGTTTTTTACATCTGTCCTGTGCGCTTGTTTATTAAATGTTTACTTACTGTGGTAGTCGCAGAAAAACAATATAATTATCTAAAATATTAATAGAGTTTTCTTGCTGATTCTACCTGTGATTCTACAATGCAGACTGTTTTTTATGTTTTTGTTTTAACTCTGCTTCTTTATCTTCCAATTTATTTTATTTTTTGGATTTTTTTAGCTTGTAATATTGGTTACTGAAGCGGATAGATTAAAATAACATTAATTTTTAATTTAGAGTCGATTTCATAACACAATTAAATAGAGTTTAAAGTTAAAATGTAGGTTTAGAATATAAAATTTTTGTCAATAGTAATCAGCACATTCTAACCAACATTTATTTTAATGCTTCTTTAAATAAACTGACTTTTATGAAACATCAGTACAAAAATTTGTATACAGGGTGATTTAATGGTTGTGTAGAAATTTTAAGCGACTGAACAGTCACCTGTTATGGTGTAAAAACATTTAACAAACTAGCAAATTCAACAATAAATTAAATCTAATAAATCGTAAACAAGAAAACTAAGAACCTACATGATAATATGAAAATTGACAGTTTTGTCTTTTAAAAAAAGGCTTGAAACAAAAATCTGAATTTGTTTTATCCTTGGCTGAAAGTCGAGAGTTGGTTCGACACTTTTGAATCACCCTGTAATTATTTCAATTACTCCTTTTTTCCTAACATTTTATGCATGTAGTAAGAGTTGAACACTATGTCAGATATCAAAAAACAGCTATTTGGTTAGGAGATGCCACATTGTTTATAATAATGAGTAGATATTTAAGGCAACTCGTAGTGTAGCGAGTTTTTGAAGACAACAACGAATTTTAAAACAATTTTGAAAAATGGCATTAGAAAATTACATTGCATTGAGACCATCATACGAAGTGATGTACTGACATCAAAAAGTTCTTCTATCTATCAAGCAAGCGTAGAAATTTAGAACACGTGTCTGCGGAAGATAAAATGTCCTAATGACAAATGAGAAATGTTAAAATATTTTTTTTCTACTTTGCGTTCGTACTAAGGTCCATTACGAAACTGTTTTGGGTTTCGTAATGAACAAAAACAGTGCTATAAAAATTATACTAAAAAGAGGGAAATTTTGTCTTATAATGTTGGCGACCTAACCGTTTTTCCATAGAACTGTCAGTGTCAATCGGTCTAACACAAATGAAATTATTCAAATACGAAATTTTTACTGTTTGGTTTAATTATAGATATATAGAAAATTGAAAATATTAAACCGTGATTCACGATTTGTATAAGTAAACACCAATAATATCTTATTTTAGATTCTTTTGAGAGGTTTTATAGTACCGAGAGATCAAGATAATTTGTAATCGAGTCATCCTTGGATCCAAAAACATATGTCTGAAACGTCAAATAAAATGATAAATCTAAAGGTAATGGCGCATGGTCAAAAAGATGACGATTTTAATAACTAAATTTTTGATGTATCTTCAAAAAAAACGCTCTTATTATTATACGTCGGCGACCAATTCCAGCCCCTTTTGCCATTTTTCTTTCGACTAATCATTTTATTTGACGTTTCATGTGCAGTTGGTTTAAAAATGGACATACGTTTTCAAATCCAAAGATGACTAGATTACAAATTATCTTGATCTCTCGATATAATTATTCAACTCCCTTAGATCAAATTTTTTTAACAAATGTCTATTTTCTAATCTGAAAACTAATAAGGAAATGATGACTTTTCAACCTGAACTGTTATATGTCATGATCTAAAAAAAAATATAATATTTTTATTGACTTGGTAATGAAGCATCTTTCTTGTTGGTATGTAATCTACTATTACCTATCTAATACCTAAGTAAGACACAATACAGGGTGATTCAGATAAGATAATGAGCCCGACGTTCTGGCGATGCAACCCAAAAATCAAATTTCATTTACGTTTTGATCTAATTTTAATTACGATTTGCATTTGCAATCCAAGTTATCTTATGTTGCTGACAGTGCAATTTATGGTTTATAAAAACTGTTTGCCTACCTTTAATGTTTAATTCTTTCATACATTTTGTATTGGATTTACACCGAAGACTTCTCTGACTTCTCTATGATTCCGCGAGAACTGAACGGCACTAATAATCATTCTCTGCACTGATGACACAAAATGATAACTTGGATTCAATTTGCAAATCCTAATTTAAATTGGATCAAAGGCGTAAATGGAATTTGTTTTTTGGTTGCATCGCCACATCGTCAGGCTCATTATCTTATCTGAATCGCCCTGTATTTTTTTTTAACTGCTTGATAATGTAGTTTCTATGTTTTTTTTTCTAAAAGTTTTGTTACATTTCCTTTTTTTACATAAATGTGAAATTTTGGTTCTATATTTAACAGTAGTGTTTAGCAAAAGTGGAACAAAAAGTTGCAAAATACAGGATGCGCCAGAACTCGCGCTCCAGATAAAAATGCCATGTAAAGATACCAAGAACATGGAGAAAATGTTAAAAAATTCTCTCTATAACAATTTCGAAGTTAGGAGAAAGTTTTAATTTTTCACTTTGATCATATATAATATATTCACTGAACTCCCGACGTGTCAAAATGACGTTAAGTTAGTTAAACAAAAAGTCACTATGGCTATGTTGGTGACAACTTCACTCAAAGTTTAACAACCTGGTCTCTATCACTTGATTTGAAATGATTTAATTATTATCATTGGCGCATGTGCCGTGTACCATGGAAACTTGACATCAAATACAGTCCGATGAAATAATAGTCATCTGTGTCGTTTGAGATACACTCAAAAGTTTGGGTTTGACATTGTAAACGTCACGGGAGTTTTGTGAATGCGGAATACATCAGTATCATTAAATAGACATAAAAAATGTCAAATGTCATAAAATAAATGTCAACATTTTTTGAGGGAAAGAATTTTTCAAACATTTTTTCCATGTTTCTGGTATTTTATCTTTCTTGAAATGATTCTCTGGGGCGCTAGTTCTGACACACCCTGTATAGGAAAATTTAAAATAGTAATGTTGTGAGTAACGTTTTTATTTTAATTACGTGGTTAATTTGATCTTCAGACCTGTATCAATATTTATAATTTTTAAAAATGGATATGTTATTGTAGGATATAAAAGCTTAGAAATTCATCGTTTTCTTTTTTGTCTTTTTCGTTTGTGCAATTTGTGTTTGGGTAGGGTCTCAAAGTCGAAGGAAAGTGTCTTATTAAGCTCTTGCTTAGGATTTACACTCGGCAAGTTAAATACATCCCGACTGCGAGTTAATGAAGCGGGAAAATCATAAAGTAGAACGTTTCCATTTCACGATTGCAGTAAAGTTTTTGAGAAGCTGTCTGGTTTGACAGTAGACAGTGACAGGCGCGGTTACTAATTGCTCTTGAACCGCACGATAACCTGCCATCCAAAGCGAGATCTAAGTGAGATTGTTCGACCAGCACCCTCCGAGCCATTGAAACTCAGCATTTTCTTCGCAAATAGAAAATCGGATCAGACCGTTTCGAAAAGTTGTGTATGCTTTTAATAATTTATTGTGGAAATCTCTCCGGAGAGATCGCTTATTCTTCACCGCGCCAAACCCTCGTCGCTTCGTCCTCCCAAATGGCATGGAAAATTACATCTGCAGGCTGAAAACAAGAATTAATTATAATCTGAAAGTCTGAAATCCGTTAAGCAGAGTGTGGAATATTAATAACGAATTAACAGAGAGAAGCGACGAGGAGAAGTGGGTGGGTAGTGAATGAAATTACAATTTGCGCAAAGAGAAAAGCTTGAACGTTTCATCACGTGATGCATTTCGGCGGAGTTTTATTTAAGTTGATAGTTTAAGCTTTTGAAGTTATACAACGTACGGCGACAGCTGCCGGAGTCGTGAGGAATTAGTGCTTGCTCTGGGTTTTAGGCGAAATTTTAGAACCAGCGTGTTTCATCCGTTACTATACCATTACAAATCGAGCAAATAGACCAACAGATGCATTCATTTATCTTTTCCTACAGGTGTTGTACAATGTAATTCTTACACGCCACTACTGAAACTTTACACAACTGGAAGGAGAATATTGCGCTACGATACATTTTGCACAGAGTTACATTTTTACACAATAATAAGCTTAGGCTTAGATTGATTGCTTTTTAATGCACCAAACGTTTATTATACTTATTTTTTTATTATTGTGGATGATATTTTAATCTAAATTGAATTTGAATGCCAACGTTTGAACACAAGACTATGACTTTTTCCATTTGTTTCATTTTCTAATAAAAGCGACTTAATTTATTTAAAAATTGTTTTTCCTTGGGCAATATTGTATTATGCACAATTTACTAGAAAATCTTTAACAACTTCTGTGTCAGTTAATGCAAACTTCTGCTTAGATTTTTTCAAATTTGTTCGTACACTTCCTTTATCGCGAAATTTTTCACCACACTGTCATCTTACATAATGCTCCGGTGGTATATTATATTGAACGCTATTTCGATGTCTGTCGTGTCGTTTTGTTATTGTAATAATTAGTCAGGAGATTTCGAGCATAACACAAAGCCCTTTTGTGCACTAAGCCGTCAAAGTCTCGAAAACGAACCAGAACAATCCGCAAATGAAATGTGAATAATTTGAATCAGAGATAAGGAGACAAGGAAGCGCGCCCCAGTTGTGTTAA